AAGATAAATAATATTTTGTTATTTTTAATTTCAATTTGTGTCTAAATATAAAACAATTCATTTCTGTGATTAGTTTCAAAGTAAACATTGTCAATATTAGATAACGTATGCACTTAGTAAAAAATAAATTTAATTTGAATCAAATTTAATTCATTTCTTGAGTTAAAGTTCATTGTTTTAGTTAAATTAACAACATATTGAGTAGGAACAGTGGCGATACCATACGATTAAAAATAATTCAAATTATAAAATTAGGTATAATTTGACATTATTCTTTAAATCTGAATCAGTGAATAATCACTGATTATCAGCCCTAAGTAATGTCACTGTAATTACTAAATTCACAATGAATTCAACTAAAACATTAATGAAACATAGAATCCCTAATTAACCTTGCTTTAGTGTATATAAATTCAATGCATAGGGTAACTGTGCCTTTTAGCCAATTTGCTTATTACTGAATTAATTATTAAATATTGTAGTTTTAATTTTATCTGCTTGCAGTCAATATCGGTTTTTCAACTACTTCTTTTTCTTATAATATTTCTTCAATCTAAAAAAATGTTAATATTTTATAATGTTTTGACAAAAATAAAAAACATGTTTTTGTCCCTATTAGTGAGTCCTCCAAGCGACGATGACCCTATTAATGTGCCCCCAATTTGTGTGCCTTCCATATTTGACTCATTTTAACATATACTAGTTATTAAAACAGGTAATAAATTTAAGCTAATTGTTTAAGCTAATATTACATAAATCATTATTTCAATTATATATATATTTATTTCAATGTACACTCATAACACAACGTTCTTAGCTCCAATACAGGGCACATTAATAGGGACAAGTTTAAAATCTTGCGGTACGTATTACTAAACTCACATAAATTTCTCATATCTTTCGAAAATATTTAAAATACTTTAATACTGAAAAAATAAAATATTTGGTATCGTATGCATTAATAATTTAACTTAACAAAAAAAAATATTTTTTCTTATTTATTTATGCTAGTTTTCTTTATGATCTATGACTTATCAAAATACAAAAGCACATTAATAAGGACAGGCACAGTAATTGGGACAGTTACCCTATGCTATTGAAACTACACTAACGTATAAATATCGGTATTTTATAATTACATTATGTTCAAACTTTCTTTTTCAATTGAATTTCACTAATTATTCAATGGCATACTCAATGGAGACTAATATAATTTAATATCCATTGATTCAGATTTAGAGAGTATGAAAGAGAGAATTTAGCTTTAAATTTTAAAGAGAGCTAAATTTATAGTTAAATTTTATATCTAAATTTTTAGATACTTCAGCAAAATCGTCCTTTTTGCATAAATCTCATTGTTTATTACTGACGACTAGGCGACTATCCTATACTCCGGCCTTCACCCGGTTAACTTCGCTTGCCCATCGGAAATTCAACCGACGTGCAAAAACTCTGTACGGAAATACATTTTAGCGTTGTCAGCTTGGACGTCGACATGAAAAATCGACGTAGAGAAAAAAATATCGTTCTCGTGAGCTACGAATTAACTCCGGAATTTGCCATTATAACGACGATGGAGACACGCGGCGAAATGTAGGACACGAGTGGTCCGCGTGTCGCGAGCGCGCGCCTGAAAAGTACAATTGCCAGGATAATTGTTGGAATTAGCATGCAAGCGGGCAGACTGTATTAGCGGCGTGCGAGACGTGAAATAATTTAATCCAGCTTCCGTACGTCAGCGTCAACGAGAACTGCTGCACTCGTGACAAAATGGTAACGGAGGAAAGAGGGAAAGAGAGGTTTATTACATTTGCATTTTTTTTTCTCCATTCAAAATATGATGTATTCATCTTAGCGAGACGTTCGCAGAATCTCGAGGCTCCTTCGCGCGCTTATCTTGGAACGACGAAGCAGAAGCTACTCGACGCATCCACGTTCCCTGCTGATAACCACACTGATACCTCGTTGAGCGTTGGCGCGTTTAAAAACGCGCTCGAGAGCGAGAGAGCGCGGCGTGTGCACTCACAGCATATTAGATTCTTATATATCCATGCCAAGGATAATCACATGAGTCCCGGCCATGTGGTTTCCGGCCTCGTGCGCACGAGGAGGATCCACCGAGGCTGCTCTTATCTACACTGCTTCAAGTAAGGAGAAGCGAATGATTTACGAGTTCGTTGGACCTACCGCCGCGCCTTTCGACCGCACGCCATCGTTGCGCGCATTTCCTGCGCGTTACATCGTCCTGGACCTTCCTCGATCGCATCCTGTTTTACTTTATAAAGTCAAAAGACCTGCCAGGAGATCAAACACGTAACTTTTTCTCTAACGCGGAAAAGTGAACATTTTTTGTATGCACACAGAAAAATATCATTCTACTGCAAAGAAAAATGATTACTCAATTTATTTTCTTCCTTTTAAGTAACGATTATTTTTAATAACGAATATTTCCTTGATAATCTTAAAATATACTTATTACTTACAAATTAAAAAAAAAACTCATTATTATCAAAACAAAATTATTTTTTTAAATATATAATTGATCGAAGAAGCGACTTTATATAATAACCATATTGAATTTATTTTAATTTGATAATCTTGATTGAAGTATTAAACTTATCAGGATTCAAAATAAATTTGAATAAATTTGAATAAATTTGATGCTTGTTATAGATTAACTTATGATAGATTTACAGACATTTAAAATACTTGAAATAAGTAATTATTATTTATATACAGTAAGTATTTTTCTGTGCGTGCTTTTGAGGTTTCCATGGGTATTTATTTCAAAGGTGCCAGAAGATTTATGGGTCATCGCCGTGTCATAATCCATTGCTAATAACATTAGCAATGGATCACGACACGGCGATAACCCGCAAACTCTTTGGCATTTTTACGTATGTAGGTATGCACATATACACACATAAAAAAAAATGTTTACTTTTCATCTTTCCGCTCAAGATAAAAAATTAAATGACTCCCTGGTCTACTTGAGGCATCCCGAAATATTACAGACAGTTATGATAGGAAAATGCGAATACTCTCGGCTTCCGTCCATCTTCCCGCATTACGAATAACGGATGTGCTCTGGCGTGAGCGAATTAAACCGTTTATATACGGATTATGCATTTTAGACTTCTGTTTCAAGCACCAATGTAATCCCGGCACTAATCCGATGTTGCCCGCTTTAGCCAAGCCGCTTTCCACGCATGCGTTTCCGTCTCGTGTAAATCAACTAAATTTGATCCGCATTAGATACCTTCCCACATAATATAACGTAACGCGCAAACACAGCTCGCACCGGGCTGGCTGTCGATCGCATTTCGTTACGTCATACCTCCAGCCTCGCGGATATAATCGTTAGACGAAAACATAGCTAAAAGTCTATGTGTAAGCTAAGGATAATCCTTCTCAGTGCGATATAACTTGTCGATCACAATGATACATTACGTTTTGCGCAGATGAAACAAGCTTTAAGCGGATAACCCAGAAATTCCCGAAATTAAACCCGATCTCATTTGCGCGCGCCTGACAAGATTCGCCAAATTCCCGGGGCTCTTCTGAAATCAAAGTAAATTCCTGCGGAAGCTAACCTGGATTTATACGGGGCCAATAGGCTTCGTTAAATATGTACGCCGTAGTTTGCCCAACGTCGGCCGAAATTCCCGCGTCGACCGATAAACAAGCTTTCGACCAAGAAAAAGTGGATTTAAAGCGGTACCGAGAACCCAGCGTTATACGTAGCGTGCGCCCTGTATAAATGGATAAAGGTACGTGCCTTTTATCGAATAATAAGTACAACACTTTGATATTATGAAATGCCATTTTAAATATGCACCTTGTTAAAAAAAAAGAAAGAAAAAATATCGAATAACATCCACTTTTATGTGTCGCAGTATTGCATATTTGCGACCAAATATAAAGTACAAATAATTAAATATACGAAAAAATGATTTTGTTGAAATATTTAAAAAAGCTAAATATAAATTTGAAAGTAATTTTGTTTGGACTATCAAAATAATTATGTAGAACGTTCAAACTCATTAATAGAATGTTTTTGCAGCATTGTCATCAATGTTTAATCTCAGAACAATATTGTTATTAAGTAAGACAGTATTGCTATCGAGACGTAAACTTTACGTATAAAGAAATAAACCTCTCTTGATTAATGTAACATACAAGTTTTTCTATATTTCACACCATGGCTGTCACAAATTTCTCTCTCTTATCCTAAAATTCCATAATTAAAAAAATTAACCTTTTTCTGATTTGCTGATCAAAATAATACGGAGGACACTCAAGAAGATTGACAGAATGTCGAAACTTTTTACAGCATCATTCATCATGCTTGAAAGTCCCACGTAATTATTTTGATGACGCAACAAAATTATTTTCAAATCTGTATCTAGCTAATGGTGCGATTCACTTAACACTGCAAATGCTTTGAAGCATTATTTGATTGATCAATTCGTAAAAGCCTTTCTCCTGATTGATCAACGAAGCATTTGCAACGAAGTGAATCGCATCTAAATTTTTAAAGACCTTAGTTCTTTCTCTAGCAAAATCGTTCCTTTCCGTGTAGTTTAGTGCTCAATGCTCTCGCTCATTTATATGTAAAATTTACGCATCGATATAACATTCTAGGATTACTTTCAGATTTACATCTAGCTAAATTTTTAAATACTTTAGCAAATCCATTCTTTCCGTGAAGGAACGGAACGCAAAGTTTCTAGCGTAGCTTTCTCTTTTAATTCGCAGCTCAACATGCCGTTGTCGATTTTCGCGATTCAACCAAACTTTCGAGAGTCGACGATGCTTTTCTCAATAATATATAATTGTTTGACATTTGCCGCGAGAAATCGCGAGGAACACAGACTATCGTGGCGGCGACGGCGACGACGACGACGACGACATCGACGACGGTGACAAACGCTCGCAAAAATTATAACGACGCAAGAAAAAGCGTATGGTCGGTTACTTTCAACGGAATGTTCACATACCTGTGGACAACGTTAGCCAGGAGATCGTTGTGCCGTAACCTGTAATCGACGTCCACTTTTTGATAGTTGACCGTCAGGGTGCCGGCGCGAATACATCTCTCGTATTCTTCGGCTGGATGGGCACGGAATTCCCTTGCGAAGACTTCCAGGATCTTCTCGCCGACCCATCGACCTTTCGTGAATGTCGTGAAGGTAAAGTAATAAGGATATACCTTACGGAGACCTGAAACACACACAACGCCGGGAATAAATGACCATGAAGACCGATAAGAGAGAGAGAGAACGATAATTACTTTGAATTCCGTAAGCCGTCTTTAAATGTCACGAGGTTTAACGGCTTATATTAGTTACGTTACGAAATGATTCGCGCGATTGCTGCAGGCACTCGCCTGCAATTAATCGGAGATTAGCATCCAAGTTGGCGCCCGAGCGTACTCCAAAGCGAACGTGAATTACGAGAATATAATGTCTTCGAAGCGGAATCACATAATAAATCACTGCAACGGATACGTAAAAATGTCGCTGTTATTTGCGAATCTATTATCATCGTGCCGTCCCAAGGATGATTGCTTTTGCGGGCGAAATTTACGTCAAGATTAACATAAAATCGATCGCATCTTTCTCTTTCATATCTTTCCCGGATAAAAAGAAAAAGAAAATTTAAATTTCTGGGACATCCTGTTACTCCGATAACGATTGACTTGGAGATTCGTGCTTCAAATGCTTCTTCTGCGGACGCGTTATTTCCTGATTTCGCTTTTTCCTCTCTCTCTCTCTATATATATATATCTCTATTTCTCTCTTTCTACATTAAGTAGAAATTAATTCGTCGGTTCGAATCATCGTTACGTGTCACCTTCAAATGAGATTTTCGCCCAGAGAGAAAAGCGAAGCTAGTTAGGAAGTTGATTAATAAGCCCGGATAAGGGGAATAATTTTCTCAGCTTCCTCGCGAGAGAGAAAGATCACCGGTGTGAGGTTAATGAAAGATATACAGCACTTTATAAATTCAGTATATCTCGCTTGATTAAATAATTTGATATCTTTAAAAATGATTCCCTACATACAGACTCATCCCGTGCGCGTTCTTCCGTCATTCTCGAGTATAATTTTATTACTTCCGTCGATACTGAAACAGTGAAATCGAGTGGCGGAACAGACATAAACGTTCTGTTCGTCGTTACCGGCTTAAGAGAGACACTTCTGAGAATTTTACGACCTCGAAATGGCTTCCTTCATTGTTCATCGGATAGTTCGCCACGTTTCAGAACGTGCCGAGTCTTACTTGGACAAGTCTTTCGCTTTAGGATTCGTGTCGAGCAATTTTGTTGTTATTTTCCGGCGAAAAGAAAATAAATACCAAAAGAAGACTTGATTAATGTCCCGCCGCGCGTTCGATCGCGTTAAAGGCATTTTTCTCATAAATATCCACTAGAAAACTGTCGTTTAAAAGACAGTCTGTCTATAGGGAATTAACAAACGTCTGACGTTTTAAATGAAAAGAGCATGGAATTATTCCGTCCTCCATATTGCGTTTAGCATAAAGATTTGATAAAAAAAGAAGAGATATTTTTACTCAGTCTTTGCAATATGCATTCCTTGACAAGGAATCGCTTCGGCGCTGCCGCAACTTTCAACCGTATGGCCAGGATGGAAGGATTAATTTATTCCAGCTAGAGTCGAGTCCTTGCGGAAACAGAAATAACTGGAGTTGTGCGGGCATTACACAAAGACTTTGCAAGTTGTCGACGAAGGAAAATTGGAGGCAGAGAACAAAAACGCATTCGTGTCAAAGAGACCGCACGCGGTTGTATTCCACCGGATAAGTTGGCAAGGGTTGACCTTTACTTTGTGTGAAATCGAATCGGCGCGGAGAATATCCTGAATAAACAGAAACAGTTCGAAAAGGAAAAGAGAAAGCCCTTGTATTCTCGCCCGACTGAAGTTACTTTAATTAAATTGCCCTCAGAATGTCGACGACGGTACTTGTGCAGCACTCTTCGCCGGAAGTAAAGGAGGCGGAGGTCATTTGACAATCGAAATGTCTCGAAAGAGCTAGCCATGCTCTCTCAGGGCGTACGGCAAGGATCCAGTGAACACGATTGATCCCTCTCGGGCTTTCGAGCTTTCGAGAAATAGAACCATCGGGACGCGGTCGTTTAGTCAAGAGCTTCTCGAGAAACGGAAGGAAATCGTCTTTGCGCATACGAGAAAAAAGGGACGAGAGAGAGAGAGAGAGAGAGAGAGAGGGGTGGGGAGGAAAAAAGAATAGGCAGTTTGCTTATAGACCATATAGGAGAAAGCTTTCCCTCGACATCATCACGATGAGAAATACATCATCTTCAGTGAAGAATTCGCAGTATGGAAACGTTAGAAGTGCACGTTGATACGAATTGGCAATAAAAAAAATTTGCGCTACTACATTGTAGACGAACGATGCATGGAACATATCTTTCTTATAATCGTACAACCCTTGATTTAATAAGAACGTATAACAATCACTGAAAAGTATCGTGCAGTAACACCGCAATTAACCGTAAAAAGTCGCTTTTGCCTCGGTTCGTTTATTCTCAGACAATCGTGGATTCTATCGAATTGTCCGTACAATCATAGCTTAAAGTAATTACGATGCTATTACACACCAATGGGACACGAACCGTCGTATTCATTGCAGCGGGTCAGTAATTGCCCCCGATGTCGAGGTTGTTCCCGAGGCCCCTCGACATCTTATCCCTGACAACCGCAATACTTTCTTGCTCCCTTTGTTTCTCCCCGTTTGCAATATCTCCGTCCTCTCCGCGTTTTGCTCTGTAACATTATCCGGCGTTCTCTCGGTTTTCCCGTCGATACTCTGTGCACGGAAAATCCGTCGGCACGCCCGCAGAATTTCGCCACAGAAATCTCTTCCCCTGACGGCGAGATATCCTCTCGGCCCTTGCATCCTGCCAACGTACGTGGGAGTGAATTTTCGAGAAACACTGAGCCGGAAAAATGAAAACGTCTGACGTAAGTAGTTTGAGAAAGGAGCGTATTTCGAAAGGTTTATTGTAAGAGAACGCGATTAAAATCACCATAATCGGTAAAGTTGTTCTATTCTGTTATTCAATGTCATTTTAATGATGTCATTTATATTCTATACTTTAGCTAATTTTAAGTTGAACTTTAATAAAATTAATCATCGAGATATTCGGCGAATAAAACATATAAAGAATATAAACCAAGTTAAATTATACAATAGTTAAACGAGCTATAATATCAACTTTAAAATTCCCGAATAATGTCATTTCCTAACTTCCACAAAAACGTTTTTAACTTAAACTTCATTGTTTTATTTCTAATATTATTAAAATATGTAATTACTTCTATATGTTTAACATAAAATTGCCATTAAAAGTTAAATCAATCTCAAATTTCCGCCAAAATAAAATAGCATTTACTCAGCATTTTATTCAAACTCTATTAATTTTGTACAAAACAGAGTGATTCCTGATATCGATTATCGACCACATCAAGCTGTGCTTTCAGAAAGTCAGGGGAGAAACGAAGCCACGTCTCGTCGTGAGTCAGCTCACGGGTTACCGAGGGCTCGAGGGGTGCCGGGTGACCCCGAACCTAAACGTCCCGCCCGTCTGGAACGACGCCTTGTTTTACGAGTAGCAAACCAATGGCGGTGTCGTCGTAGGCCGCTTTGGGTTTCATTCGCTATCGATCGTGCCCACACACAACCTGGCACTCTGCGGCTCGTGTATACGCACGACCGCTTTTACAACGGGAGTAAACACCCTCTGTTGCAATTCGACTCGCCCAACTCGCATTTTTGCGGCGACCCTTTTCACTCGTCCTCCGTTCAGATGCTTTGCGCACAGCTGATCGCGACAACACGACACTCTCGTGACATCGTTAACTCTACATTACACTAGTGTGGCTTTTTTTTAACGTAACGTGTGGAGTGTTTCTGATATTCTAACATAATTATATCTCAATTTTCATTGTTCTGTTTGATTTACAATTAAATGGAGATTGATAATATTCTGCACGGAAAGAATGCTAAAGTTATATTGCTTATAAATTGTGTCAATATTATATTCTTTGTTAATTAATTTTTTTAAATAATATTTGTGTTACCTTCTAACATATTCTTGTGTTAAATTAATACAAAAATTTGAGTGGACTATTTAGGCAAAATATATTAAATTTAATACAAATTTTCCAACTGTATACCTCAAAACACCGTTCTTTCTTTTAGATAAAGATAAACACAACAAAATTTTGTTTAATTGTGAAAAAAATTGCGCTAAATGTGTGTAAATAGCATTCATATATCTGGAAAATTTACTTAAGTCAGGCTATCTTGGATACTTCACGAGAGTAATGAAGAGTTAATCGAATTATACAAAAGAATTATACTGAAGATTTCTCAGAAGTTGTGAAAAAAATAGTATTTTACTCTCTTCTCGAAAAATACTATCGCTTTTTTATTTATACAACATTAATATAACAACGATATTCCAAGAGCACTTTAATTTAAGTAATTTAACAATCAATTGAGTATATTTGTCTATTTATTTCTGGGTAGAGATTTCATTTATTTATCTACTATCGGATATAATTCACGGTTGGACGAAACAGGATCGAAGAGGACCTCAGCAGTGCAGGCGAAGGTCCCGCGGGAGAAATCCAGCGAAAATAATCGCACGTCTCTGTGAAGTTTATGGGCGGTGTACTAGGAACAGTACCGTGGATATCACTAAATATTTGACACCGAGTTTTCTGGAGGAGATTGTAAATACCGTTTCACGACCGGAAAAGTCGTTAATGGCGTTACGCACGATATGTAAATGTATGGTAAACTTACGTATATACGTAAAACAGTCGCAAAAATACATCGCCACGGGTTGTAAAATGTTGTGCGCGCGGAATCTATACATATAAACAGAAACAATCTTCAAATCAGAGTACAATCCATGCTCGTAATGTATTCTATCCCGCGCTTCAACTGTACGCCCACACCAAAAGATTTTTCTATTTTTAAATATCGTACAATTCTCCCACTTTTTCCTTTTGCCAATCAAGTTACCTACATAAATTTTGCACCCATCAGGCACATGTATCGATTTACTTGCTTACTTCTCGTGTAGCATGGATCCGTGCGTTTAATATCTCTCGGAAATCGGCCATCTTGTTATACACATCAACCCGTTACATTTTATTTCCTGATATCCA